AATATGAACTTCACTCTGACTGAAACTCATTTAGGACATTTCACCTGCCTCCATTCAGCCATCCCTCCATCATGGTAAATGCTCTGTACTCATATAGCGCTTTTTCAATTCAGGAGATTTAAAATTGCTTAAACCCACATTCACTCACACACTGATGGTGGCAAGCTACATTGCAGCCACAGCTGCCATTGGGCTCGCTGACAGAAGCAGGGCTGCCGTACACTGGCGCCACCGGGCCCTCTGACCACCATCAGTAGGCAATGCAGGTGTCATTGTGTCCTGCCCAAGGACACAATGACACTAAATGCCTTAGCCGGGGCTTGAACTGTGAAACCTTTGATTTCAGGGCAAACTCCTGCACCTGACGCCACTGTCGCCCTGACTTTCCATCCATCCATCTCTCCCACTCATCTAACTTTAACAGTCATTAATGGAAAAGTGTAAAAAGCCGGGTGAGTGGTGGGTAGGAGAAGGGGGGTAGCCACTGATTGGGAAAGGCCCTTGGTCAGCTCTGAACCTGGTCCTGACCAGGTTAAGTTCAGTAGGTCAATCACCATGGTAACACATAGTAAGACTTAGAGTGAGTCAGCTTTTTAAAACCCCAAACAAACCAGACTTGGCCAACTAAGCCAGGGTTAAAACTGAGAACAGATTTTACTCACATGCATTGTCTGTTTTAAACTGCAGCTCAGCCTGCAGATCAAACAGGGGCTTCTTTTGTGGTCAAAATAATTGATTTAAGTGTGAAAAGGCTGATAAGCGGTATAATAAGTTGCTAATGTTATCAAGGATCAGTTATCTCAGTGGAGGAAAACAGACAATCAGAAATAGGTCACATAGAACCGCTCTGTGATCCAAAACAAACTAAAGCTCTTCTGCTTTTAGGATTTCTTTTATGACTCACTTCATCTTCACTAACAATATCACCTGTGAAAATAGTAAAGCTTATATTGATTTGGGTCAAAGAATAATCATGACATGATGCATCGATCATCAGGTTTTATCAAAGCTGTTACCTTTGGAGCTGGAAACAGCTCAGCTCGTCATTATCTGAGCTAAATGCTTGGATTAGAGTTTCCATTGAATCCTTCAAGCTGCTGCAGGTCAAACAGACACTGTGAACATTTGCAACCGACATTACAACCCTGTGGAACCAGATTTGCAGACAAGAATACTAAGAGAAGTGATTTAGGGAACATGTGTGTTCCAGCTTCAGGCTAAAACATGACAGCAGCGTGAGTCTGGACCTGTTGCATCACACATTGGGATGAGTAAAAGCAACAGGAAGCATTTTCAACATTGATGGCCCATTTTTAAAACCCATTCATCTAAACAGCCCCCCCAGGAATCAGCAGTGAAACTCACCAAAAAGTGATAGGACACCACAGGCAATCCAGACTACCAGGGACATTCCTACGCTGCCGGAGTGTTTCAGGATCCCCTTTGGTGAGATGAATATCCCAGCTCCAATAATGGTCCCAACAATGATGGAGATTCCTCGGAGCAGCGTCACCTTCTTCCCCAGTTCCACCTTCTTGTTATTCCCTTCCTGGAGTTTCCCTTCAGGAGAAAACTTTTGGCACTTCAGAGCCCCATTGCCATCTTCGTTGGTGGCAGAAGATCTGTTCATCTTCTCAAAGACCGTCTGACCTGAAAAAATCAATGACTTTCTGGACTGGATGACAGTGAGGGTAAAACCACAGTCCAGGGAGAAGAAATGTCACTGGTACAGGTCACTTTAAATCCTCTTTCATGGCTGTTCCTGAACTCTGCCTCAGCTCTCTGACATCACCCAGCTCCTTTATGTCCCTGTTCATCTGGGTCCCTGTCTGGCCCATGCTTTGCCTGCTTGTCTGCCCTCCCCCTTTCCTGAGTCATTCCTCCTCCCTAAAACCAGGTGTGGCTCAGGGCTTTTTCTTTTTTTTCCATTTAAGTTCCTTTGAATTTGCTCATGATTGATGTGTTTATAGTAAAAGCTTTTCTAAGGTTTTTTTTTTTTTTTTTTGCGGAAAATGTTTTAAAAGAGAACAGTCTTTTAAGGTTCACTGTTTTTCTGTCATTTTAGACTTAGAGAGGTTTATTTGTCATTTTGTTTAACAACTGTAAAACAAAAAGAAACTTAGTTTGGAAACAGTTCTCTGGACAATTTAATCTTTTTTTAAAGTGCAGCCTTGAAAAATATTAAAAATCAGTAATATAAACATATGACTGTAAATGTAAAGTTCTAAAATTTGTTTTTTTTATATATATATAATTGTGAAATATAATAAAATACAATAAAATAACCCATTTTACACAGCATTCATCAGTCTGATGGCGGTGGGGAAGAAGCTGCT